ATATATCTCCCAACAATAACAACAAAATAAAACAGAACTGGAGAGATGGCTCAGCAGTTAAGAGCACTGGCTACTCTCCCAAAGGACCTGGATTTGGTTCCCAGCACCCACATGGTAGGTTAGTTCCAGGGGATCCCACATCCTCCTCCAGCCTCTGCAGGTACTGTATGCACATGGTGAACTTATATACACACAAGCAGAACATTCATACACATAAAATAAAAATAAATTAAAAATTTTAAATTTTGGAATTTGGATCAAGTTCCTTCAAAATATTATTTTTTTGAGCATCACTGTCAATCTCTAAAATGAATCTTATTTGAGTGTTTAAACTGTTTAAGGCCATTTTTCTTAGGGCTCTGCTGAATAAGCCTTTTGTATAGCTGAATAGCAGAATGAAATAAAGAATTTAGGCAAGAAGTTCTCAAAGCTTGTGACAGTATGTCACCTTCCCTTTGTTTGTATAAAGGCAATGATACCTTGTGGGATGTGTGAGTAATAAAGCCTGAGAATCTGGAAGGGCATAGAGTAGGAAGGTACTTGCCACACTGACTGACAATGTAGCACCGCCCACTGGACACTCTACTGTGTTGGTACCTACTATCTTCAACTGTCTGACCTGCTCAGTAACATCAAGACAGCATAGTGCCTGATTGTAGAGACAGATTCTAAGCCTCTGCTCATCTCAAATGACTGGAGAATAAGGAAATTAAAAAAAAAATGTTTATTGAGTTTTGGTGCATTTCATGTAATAGATCTTAATCAAATTTAGACCTTCCTTTACCATCTGCGCCCCCGCCATACCTCCTTTCACCAGATTTTTATGCGCTCTTTAATATATGTTAAGTTCTATCTGGTCTAGTATTTGTACCCAGATATTCCTCATGCAAATTCATCCACTGGAGTCTAGTCAGCCTATCTAGAGTCACTCCCTTAAAGAAGATCTACTCTCTGCCATCCTGAGTTAATCAGTTGCCTATATAGTTCCTTGGCTAGGGTTGGGGCCTGCTACCCATTTCCCTAGTCCCATGATGGATTTTTGTCTGATTGAGTTGGCATGGGTCTTGTGCGTGCTGACACCATTGGTGTAAGTTCACATGAGCAAGTTCCCAGTGGCCTGAAAGTCTGCTTCCTTGCGTTCATGCATCAATCCCAGCTCTTACAATCTTTCCGCCCCCTTTCCTCAATAGTCCCTGAGCCATGACTGGGTGAGGTGCAATGCAGGAGTCCTATCCAGGGACACGTACTCTGCAGTCTCTTATTCTCTAAAATTACCAGTTGTGGCCTTTGGTGTACACTGCACTCTGTTGTATGAGGAAACTTTGCCGGTGAGAACAGAGGGATGTACTAGCATTCTCTCTACTCCCTGTGCCATTGTTTACGTATAGAAGTTCCACTGTAGATGTATCACTTAAGACTGTGCAACTTTCAGACATACACTCTTTGTGTGTGATCAATTATGGAGCTTTTTAATAGCCTCCATCTGTTGCAAAAAGCTTCCTTGATGAGTGGCATACATCATACTTAGGGTCATAGGCAGGTTTGTGGCAGGCAGATCAGGAGGCCAAAGGCAAGGTAGGGGTGGGAAGAGCCTATGGAGAGTCTAATAAACTTAAACTGAACTAGAGGATTAAGCTAGTCTGGATTAGGAAGCTAGTCCAGAGAGCTGAGGCAAAAGAACAGGAGTGGGCCTAGGCCCAAAGCTAGAACTGGGACAGAGGGCAGGAGAGTGGAGCTGCTCATGCTGCAGGGGAATCAAGGTCAGAATAAGGAAATTTTAAAAGTACTCATAATCATCAAATAGAAACAAAGGAACAATGTGAAAAAAAGTTACATGGTTGAAATTTTTTTTTTTTTTTTTTTTTTTTGGTTTTTTTTTTTTTTCTTTTTTTTTTTTTTTTTTTTTTTCCTGTAATTCCAGGTCACAGTCCATCATTGAAGGAAGTCTAGGCAGGTACTCAAGAAGGGACTTCATTGAAGGCATATTGGTTTGCTATTCTATATAGCATTACCTCTGACCAGGGAACTCACTTCATGACCAAAGAAGTACAGCAGGAACCACAGAGTTTTTTGCTTGCTGGCTGGAAGGCAAGTTTATGC